TCAGAGGAAAACTAGTAAAATCGGCAAAAAACAGTTTGTTAAAATAGCTCTCCATCTTGGCATGAAGCACCATTGGAAAACTATACAAGGTGAACAATTTGGAACCAGAACAGTAAAATTATCTGGTGCCGGCTGTTATCAGTGTCTGATGTTTTCAGTAATCACTTCTAAATAAATATGAATCATAATTTACACAACAAATACAAGGAACATATGGCCACGCTGAAAATAAACCTGAACACCAGATGGACTCACACATACCCATTTTCTGCCATCAACCTCTATGTTTATGAGACAAAAATACAGCTGACCAAAATAAATGACATCTCAAAAGTCAATCCATTCATTTTCGTCTGCTTATCCAGCGTCAGGACGCCTCCTGCAACCTACACAAGGCCAGAAGTTACACAATAAATGCCTAAATAAAACCAGATCATTTCTAAATGTGCCATTAAATAAAATACGAATGCCTTTTGCATGATTGTCTGTAATCATGGCACTCCTTTTTAGCAAGTAGAAGTTAGTGGGACGAGTGGGGATTGAAAACGACAGGGTTTGAGGTCTTATTCGTTAATATTCAGGATATTCGATTGGTTAACGGCAACATGAAGCTTCCATTGCTCTTCTTTTCACTCTGCAACATGGATGTTTTATCTCTACAAATACCACAACCCTGAAGGAGTTCTGCCAGGTTTTGGAGTTGCTAATGCTAATGGTTAGCTTCTGTTAGCCGAGACATGCTATGCTCTCTCCTGGACGCTAAATCAACAACAGCATTTCCTGGTCGCAAGCCAAGATGGGTGAGTCCACCAATTCAAATTTACAGTGTGTCGTAGAGCTGAGCGGCTTTTTCTAACTCAAGTGCTTCCTCGTTTATTTTCTATTGGCAGCTGACAATATAAACCCTTAAACCCCATGCCGCCACACTTGGTACTAATATTACCGCAACGTCAGACTTGGCGTCACACAGGTTGGTGCCATGATCACGTGGTAAGTTACTGGCGAGCTTCGGTCAGCAATAATATTAAAAATGAAAGTAAACATGGCCGTAAGTATTACTTTTTTAAACAGAATAATCCGAGATGATAAACTGGAGCGATGCTGAGCTCCAAGAGCTTCTTTCCATTAGAGCTGGAGGTCAGATCACCTGGGACTGCACAGTTACTGTGCAGAACAGACACCTTCATGAAAAGCTTGTCAAAAAAACTTAATGAGTGCGGCTTCGATTGCAATAAAAAGCAAGCGATGCCCAAGTTAAACAGAAGTCCTTGGTAGCGCAGACACTACACCCATACCGCTTTATACCGTCATTGCATAATCATTTTGTGAAATGGACACGGTTGCGCAGCATTACCGCCACGGTCTGACCACTTATAAACAACTTAGGCTCCCAGATGCTGCCATGGCATTGCGGCAAATTGGCTGCATTGTTTTCTAAAAGAGGCTATAGAAGACTATTCTAATCTTATTTCAAAACAAACATCTACCATACTGTCAGTGGATCTCACCTTTAACAATTTCTCAAAGGTAAATTAAATCTGTTACAAATAAAAACATTTTCATTTATAAAAAAGTCTGTATAATATTTTATATAATAATAATTTTATGATTTAAAGATATGAATAATCAATATCATTCATGGCTGTGATCATCTGTTGCCGCGGCTCCTTTATCTGTCCCGCACTCAGCACAGCTCATGAGTGAGACAGAGAGGTTGATTTATGTAGCGGTAGAAAAGAACACAACGTAATATCACTATGTGGACTTGGAAGATTAACTTATCTTCTTTTTAAAAAGTCTGCATTTTTCTGATGGCACAAATCTTTGCAGATTTATGGTCAATTAAAGAGACAATGTGTAATTTTTACCTTTAATTTCTGGAAATATCCATCAAAACGTTGCTGAAAATGAATTAAATGGTGCCCAATTCTTGAAAAATCTTGGCGGCTTTGTAACGTATAACCATAAAAGTCATGCCATACCATACCATACCATATTTATTTATAAAGCACCATTTCAAAATAGCATGGCAGCTAACCAAAGTGCTGTACATAAAAAAGCTAAATGCTTGAACAAGAAACACAATAAGAACAGGCAAAATACATAAGGACAAAGCATAAATAGTCTGAGAGAAAAATTCCTACTAAAAACAATAAAATAGGAGAATAGTTAACAGCACTATAAAAAATAAAATAATACGACGAATGAATAAAAACATTTGAAATGGCACAAATAAAACGAAATAAGCTACCAGATGGTGCGAGGTGCCAAAAGTGTGCAACTGAATCATAAAAACGGAATTAAAAAAATCAAATCCGGTGCTAGAATTTCATGAAAAGTGTCACAGAGGGAAGGCATTACTAAATAAGTGCGTTTTCAGGGCCGACTTGAAACTGCTAACAGAGGGAGCCAGACGCACACGGAGGGGCAGAGAGTTCCAGAGTTTTGGGGCTGCATAAGAGAAGGCACACTCCCCCCGTGATTTGTACCGAACCTTCGGAACAACAAGCAGCAGATGATCTGCTGACCGAAGGGCACGGGTGGGAACATACAGGGTCAGCAGGTCCGTCAGATAGGATGGGAATGTGCAGTACAAAGCCTTGTAAACATGTAACAAGACCTTGAAGTTAATCCTAAATTTGAGTGGGAGCCAGTGTAAATCTGCGAGGATGGGTGTGATGTGCATGCGTCTGTCGGTGTTGGTTAAAAATCTGGCCGTGGCATTTTTGAACCTGTCCTTGAATCAGGACAGAATTTGCATAATCCAGATGTGAAGTAATGAAAGCATGAATGACTGACTCAAGATCCGGACGTTTGAGGACTGACTTAAGATGAGTGATGCGGCGGAGTTGGAGAAAGCAGGACTTGACAGTAGCATTGAGCATTGACTTGTGAAGACATTGAAAGGTCAGAGTCCAGTTTCACACCTAGGCTAGTGGCACATGATTTGAGATTGAGTGGGAGAGTTGAGACCTGTTGCTGGAGACCAGAACAATCTGAAATGTCTAAAATGCCACCAACAAGAGGTTTGTCAGGGCAGCAAACATGTATATTAAAATCACCAAGAATAATCCCACGGTCATATTTTGGAAGAAAGTCTTTTAAAAGATCAGAAAATTCCGAAAAAAGTTTGAATTGTACTTAGGTGGGCGATAGCAGAGAATTAACAGCAGTGGAGGACTAAAATCCACCTCAAAAGCCATAAACTCACAGATCTAAATCAGATCTAAAATACATGCGAGCGGGTCTAAGGGGCCAGGCGCCTTGCTTACGAGGACACTGTCCTTCCTTGGTCAAAGAAAACGATTAAATAGAACAGACTTTAATCATGTGACCGCGGCTTCTGCGTCACGTGATACAGGAGACAACGTTATATTTTATACGTGTACGTTGCAATATAAGTATATAACAGGCCTTTTACTTTTTAAATTGCGTATATATTTGTTAAATTAAATATAGAAGCGACTTAGTACCCGCTAGTCACCGAAGCTGCAACTACTAGCATCTAACCAACCATAGATAACTGCTTTGGATCTAAAAAAAACCATTTCAAATTAGTTGACTTACTTTTAAACTTGATGCCATGCTTCCTTCTATGGGAGCCCATGAGGACAAAATGCATTTACTGACTTGTAACAAACGGTTACAAAACTTTGGTTGTTCTTAAATGTTGTTTTACACATTTACCTCTACTTGTTGCCAGTGATGAAAAGGAGTCTGATGTATTTGTTACTTTGCTAAAGTCAGCACTCTCCAGGGCTCTTTGACCCTAATGGGCATCCCTTGAGTCAGTGCATCATTGTTCAGTGTCAAGGCGGTGTTTCTGTGAGACAAACCTACAGGCGGCCCACGCTTGTAAAACAGTTTGTTGTTAATAAATACATCCGAGAACAAATTTTAGCTTTAGTTTTCATCCTTGCATTATGAGCGGTGTTTGGACCCCCCACTCCTGAGACCCCCTGGTAAGGTCTGTTCAGGGATTCTGGAGAGGAGGGTCCATCGGATTGTTGAACCTCAAATTCAGGAGGAGCAATGAAGTTTTGATCCTGGCCGTGGAATGCTGGACCAGCTCTATACCCTTAGGGTGGTCCTGGAGGGTGCATGGGAGTTTGCCTAACTAATCTGCATGTGTTTTGTGGATTTGGAGAAGGCATTCTACCGTGTCCCTTGGGGGGCCCTATGCTGGGATGGGGTACCAGGCCCTTTGACCAGGCTGTTAGGACCCTGTATGACTGGTGTCAGAGCTTGGTCCGCATTGCAGGCAGTAAGTCGAGCTTGTTAGTTGTCCAGTTTGTAGCTGGGATGAGAATCAGCTCCTCTAAATCAGAGACCATGGTCTTGAGTTGGAAAAGGGTAGAGTTCCTTCTCTGGGTCAGGGATGAGGTCCTGCCCTGAGTGGAGGAGTTTAAGGAACTTGGGGTGTTGTTCACGAGTGAGGGACAGATGGAGTGGGAGGTTGAGACCCAACTCCAGATAAGTGGATGAAAATGGATGGATGGAGTAGAAGAAACTGGATTTTTCAGATCTGATTGTTTTCCTGTCTAATTCCTTTCTGTAGCTAACGCGGGCGATGGAAGTTGAAGACAATTTTCACATTCGGTGTGCAGATGCAACTCAGAGTGAACGATGGTATGTCATAACCAACTATTGCAGCTTCTCAGTTGTCCGCAAGCGTATTTTAAAATCTATAATCTCAAAATTAACAATGCAGCAAAGAAACAAGCATAACCAATAAAAGAACAATAAAATGCACCTGTATACAAGCAGCTTCACACCCAGCAATCTGAGAAGCTGCCATGACACGCGGTGACGATGATGAGGTAACGGTCTTTCTTTTGGACCAAACTAAACTCAGGACCAAAAATCAGCAGACATTGTCATCAAAGGGAGGAATGTCGAAGACAGACATGCGTGAAAAGGCCAGGGTGTTAAAACATGAAGGTTGGAGAAACAGATCATGGCAGAAGGTAAAGATGTTAGAATCTCCCAGACAGAATTACCTTAAAAATGTGCAGCAGGTGGGGTCGCAGGACAGATTAAAACACCAGAGGAATTGTTTTCCTGGTTTTCTCCTCATCCATCAATTCATTCATTCATTCATAGGTTGTACACAGACATGTTAATGTTGAACCATAATGAATGTCTTGCAATTAGACGCAACCCTGGGGATTGATCTGATATTCTGACATCACGATGATTTGTGATTTATTGACGAACACACTGATTGCTGAAAGGAGTGTAAACTGAATAATTAATCATTCCAGCTGCTCTGAATGAGACCAGCGGGTTCAGCTGCGGTCGCCGCCTTAACGCTGAAGAAAACAAGCAAGTGAATGAAAACCCTCCAAGCGTGAAGCACCTGCAGCCTCCAGCTGTGGGAAACACCGGTTGTTCGGCCCTTCCACTGCCGCATGGAGCTGCTGTCTGCACGCAGAGACACTTCGGAGCCGTTCGGCTGCAGATCTGAAACCGGTACCGACAACAATCACCTGTCTGGCCCAACCAAAACCACTCATTTTCTGACAGGCTGAGACGCAACGGACGCCACGCAGCCCCGTGTTTAAAAATTCACCCGTTTATCACGTTTGCATGTAAAGACAAAACATCCTAAAATATGTCCGATTTAACCGCATTGCTATGAATCAAGAGGAGATGTAGGATAATTCGTCTCATGAAAACCCCGCCCATATTAACTTAATAAACAATATCAGTAAATTTATGAATGGTTTCTATTGGAAGCTACCGCCCTCCGTGGTGTGTTTTCATGAGAATAATCGCAAAAAATGCGGCTAAAGCGTGGATTAAACTGGAATTACGCAGAAATCTGAAAGGTTTATTTCCACTTTAATACACGCCGAATAATTATTTTTTGTCTGTTGTTCTTGAAATGTTCAGTGGCAACGTTGTACTTATTATAATATGCATATAAAAGCCGATTAATAATAAAACTGTATTTTTAAATGGCGTCTGGTCCGCGGCTGTCTGAAAACATCACGCATCTGCTGAGCCGAGCTGCCGAGTCAAAGCTGTGCGGTTCGGAGGTAAAAAGAGCTCACACGGAGGATGCCTGGGAGAAGCAGCAGATTATTAATCCGGTGGAGAATCCTGAAACAATATTAGTGGTTTTAAAAAACAGTTCCTGCATCCAGACGAGTTAAGAGACGACAGACGGGCATCAGCAGAGAGACAGGAGCAACAGGCGACACAGACAGCTCACCTGCTCACAGCCGAACAAATACCGGCTTCTCCTTCACATAAAGCGGGTCAGACAGGTTCGGCAGCAGCCCATCCGCCCTGAGGTCCGAGCGACGGTGAAATCGGTTCTTTTGCGTTAAAACACCGCACAGGAGTGGAGGGAGGAGAGGGAGGGGCTCTGCTATGAAGTCACCGTGCAACAAAGACGGGTCGGCTCCAGTCCGAGCCCCGGGCTTCAGGGGTTACGATAAAGCAGAGCCGAGGCTACGTGTGAACGGTGAGTGATGCATGGACGAATGCTCCATTTGAGTCTTCATGATGAAAGGGGTGAAAAGGGTCAGTCACACATGTTTAAACCCAATATTAGATAGCCAGGAATAAAATCTAATCTAACATTTAGAATCAAAACTATGTACATATATAAACATAAGTTAAAAGCCACATGTTAAAGAGCAAGTCACACCAAAATCAATTTTTTAGCTGATAACTAGTATAAATGATTGCCTAATAGTGTTGTAGACGTAGTTATTTTAGCATTTTGATGCATTTTCTTTGAAAACCAAATTCTGTCTAAAAACGTCTAGCGCCCTCTTCATCTCAAAAGTAAAGAACACATTTATTTTTAGTGTGTTGTAGCCAATGGCCAATATATGTCAATGGTACTACCTAGCAACTCTGTGGCTGTAGCCAGGTTATAAAAGCACATTGGTCTCAACCATCGACATTAATATATGGACAATGGGTTTCCACAGGCTACAATAACAAGTTTTTCTGCTAAAATGGGAGGTGGCCACCACCACCATTTTGACAGTGTCACAGGTTCCATCAAGCCCAGACAATTCCATAAAAGGGAAGAGAGGAGGAGCTGAGGGTGGGGCTGCAAGGCTGGGATCAACTGACGACACCCGATCGAACTAGCTACAAGCTAACCTAAAGCTAACCCAAAGCTAATGCGGAGGTGGGAGCTAAGCTAACGGAGGTAGCAACCTAGCTACAACCGGAGTTAACTGTGCACAACACCAGAGCTTCTGAGTCAGAGATACGCCGGGCTGACCACTGGGTAAAACCGGGTGGAACACAGAGGTCTCCGAGAGCTCCACAAGCCGGCAGCTGCACAGCAGACAAGTGCCGCTGCGCAGAGCTGCCGCTGGGGAGAACCGGGTGGAAAGGTTTCCATCCCAGAGCTCCACAAGCCGTCAGCCCGCCGCAGCACACAGAAGCCGCGATCAGACAGATGCGCCGAGCTGCGGGGAGAAGTGGTGTATTTTGGCGGTTCTGGCTTGCCATAAGAACCAGCCGTCAGCCCGCGCAGCTAACAGAAGTCGCAATCAGACAGAGATGGACCGGGCTGCGGGGAGAAACAGCCGGCATTCCGGGTAGAAAACATCGGTCTCCCGAGAGCTCCACAAGCCGATAGTGGGAACCCAGCTCCACCAACATGTTATATTTCAACTCATTTTCTAAAGTGCAGCATTATGTTAAATGCACTGGGTTTTACCCTATTACATTTAAATTTCATGGTTAAACAGTACATGTTAAAATCTAAGTTCAGCTCGGCAGTGACCTAAAATACATAAATATAATTTTACTTACCGAAAAAAATGAAGTGGAGACTCCTTGGACGCTCTATTAGTGCAATTAATGCCACAGCAAGTCATTTTGTCCAACAATTGCACAAACAATATCCAAAAAAGAATACACAAACACAGAGACTCAAAATCCCGGAGCAGTTTCCAAGCCAGGCCGAGGCTCTACTGAGGCCTTTCCACGGAGCTAGCTCTGTGGTCACGTGGGTCTGATGCTCATTAATTATACAGAATTTTAGGCTTTTAATACACTTAAACAGAAGAGTGAGAAAAAATTCACCCCCCTCAGAGTTGTCATGAGTGTAAACTAGATCATTTAAACAAAAAACATGTTTTGGTACCAGGCTGTAAACATGTTTATTTCTGCTGTGAAATTGGCATTTTTAACATGGGAGTCAATGAGGATTTGCTCGCTTCTGACACCAGACCCTAGTGGATGAGGGTGGAACTGCAATTTTTGGTACTTCCGGGTTGGGACCAATTTTAGAGCCGCATTGTGAGGGCTTGGTTGAAGCAGATGAACATCTAAAACATGCTGGATAATAGCTCTCTAAGGCCGTGGAGCCAAACCCTGCAGTAAACCTAATGCTATGGCTAACGGCTACTTACCATTCAGGGCTTGTTCTATTGGGTCGGCTCCGGTGGTTTCAGGCAACTCACAAGCTCAAAACGATAAGGCTCAGGTCCGCTTGTCTCCTCCAAATAGACTTGGTCCCCTTCTTCTCGATTGTCTGAGTAAGGGGGGGAGAAACGCCCTCCATTTCTAATGACTACTCGGAGTGAAAAAGGGTAACTTCGTCTCGTTACCCATCCGTCTTCGTCACTGCCGCGGCTCCGCCCTCTCGGTCCGCCAGGCAATGCCTACTAATGTTGCAATTTTCAAAATTGATATGTGGGTGGAGAAGTACTCTGAGGCAGGGTTTACACCCCTTTAAAGGTACTTTTGGATTTTAGCATCCCCTAGTGTCCATTTAGTAGATTAAAAAAACAAAACGTTCTTTTAATGCCTTAATCTAGGGTGACCATATCTCCAAAAATAGAGGACAGTGGATCTGTGCCTACCGATCACTTTGGCAATGCCACACAAATGACATTGGGACCCCATTTTAGAGCTAAAATAATAGAGTCTACCAAAAATGGCTCTAAGAACATCCATCCATCCATTTTCTTCCACTTATTCAGAGTCAGGTCACGGGGCAGCAGCCTAAGTCAAGAGGCCCAGGGTGTTTCTCAATCCCAAGGAACCTTGCCTTGATGTCTTGGCGCCGACCAGGTTTCCTAGGAGATACGTCATCAGGAGCCGCCAAGACATGTTCCAACAACACATTCTCACACCCAAGGCATCAAAATATGACGCGTGTGACCAAGCCTCAATATGTGATGATTCGGGACGTCCCAGCGCGTCAGGAAACGACGATCAGGGACAAGCTGGGTCACGTAGCTCCGCTGGCGTCACTGTTTGACACGCACGGTCACACGGACATTATTTAACTATTTAACCTTCCCCTCACCCCAATCCTAACCTTAAGGTCCATAAACTGTGACCTTAAGGTTAGGATTGGGGTGAGGGGAAGGCTAAGCTGTTCACAAGTAGTTATAATGTCCGTCTCACCACCGGCATCGGATACCGACGCTCTGGGACGCTGCGTCAGCAGTTTGTCCCTGATCGTCGTTTCCTGACACATATTGATGCTTGATGCTTGGTCACACGCGTCATATTTTGACGCCTTGGGTGTGAGAATGTGTTGGTTCCAATGTTCATGTTCTACCGAGGCGTGTGTTCTCCGTTTGTTAGCCATTTATCTAGCTGAGCAAGGATACACGGGAGGTGTCTTGTAGCCTAGCCTTGGTCAAAAATTACCCAGAATACACAGCTGCATTTTCAAAAGGAGGGTGGATCAGAAGCCGGTAGCTACTTCAGGGGTAAATTTCAAGTTTGAAAGTAAGTCAAGTAATTTCAAATGCTTTTTTTTAGATTGGTTAGTAGCTTATTAGTTGCAGCTTCGGTGGCTAGTGGGTAGTAACTGTAGCGTGAAGAAGTATGGGTTTTTCTGTGTCAAAGGTTGTATTTGCCCGGCTGGGTCGAAGCTGGGTCACCTGCAACTTTCACCCACAAATAACAACCTGAGCCGCCAGCGAGTCTACACGATCCCACAACAACCGAACATCTGGTCTCCAGAAGGAGTTCTCACAAGGAAGCTAGCCATAATAAAAGAGTCTTACGCTTCCTTTGTTTATTAATGCTAAATAATCATTTTATCATTTTACTCATTACAAATGTATTTTAATCAAATGAATTATTATTATGCTTTGGTTAATCATAATAACTATAATGAATCAGTATGCTTAATTAAATAATGTTTAAAGATGTTTAGTGATGACCTTCACATGTGCTCACACAGGTCTGCATTCACAGTAACTCCAAAACACATTTGCTCTGACGCACAAGTTTGCTTTGGGAAGAGAACTGGGTTTTTGGTAAGTTATTCAGTTCGAGTTTGACAACGAGAGAGAGCGGACGTGCTGAACAACACCACGGGGAAGGGAGCCTGCAGGCTCTTGTTCTTAAATTGTAATTAAAATTCTTAACTTTCAAACTTGTCTCTTCATTGAACTGAAACACAGACACACGGATATGATCGTCAGTTTATCGATGAAAACAACCTTTGAGTCTTCTTATTTCTATAAAAATTGGTTATTAATTTATTAAAAATTAATAACCAAATTAATATGTAGAATGGTTCCTCTCATAAAAGAGCCATAAACCATTACACTACATAACTCACTTATATATTTAATTTGACAAATAGGCTGCATTTCAAGTTCACGCATTTGGTCAATTTTAAGACACACGATGATAACTCTGGGTCTTTTCAGCCATTTATAACAGAATGTCTGGTTATTAATGATCTCAATAAAAATTAAACCATCTCCATCTATCTGGATAGTAATTACACTCTGAAGCTCTTGCAGTGATGCATTATTTTTAATTAAGTGTTGTGTGCATCCATCTGCTCCAGCTGCTTTCAGAAGGACCTGGAGGGTGGAAGTCAATACGACCTGACACCAGGTCAGAGTAGAGCCTAAGGTCTGACTCATTGCAGCTGCCTGCCTACTGGTGATAAACCAGCACAGGCGCACAGATGGGACAGGGAATTTAGGGACCATTTATGGGTGTTATCTGGCTGCTAAAACACACACAGGCTACAGGTTTTAGACTCATCCCTCCTGGCTCCTAGACAGCAGCACATCTGAGTCTGCTTTTTACCAGGATCACACTTACAGCATGGTCGACAATAAACTGGGTCAGAAATTTGGTTTCTTTGAACAGTGTCACTGAACTAAAATCATGTTATTAAAACGGAACTCAACAGGAAACACCTTGATTAAAATTGATCCTAATTACAGCGACTTAGTCAACAGGCT